AAATAAAAAAAAAAACAGAAAAAAATAAGTGTTTCTCAAAAATAACCAAAAAGGAGGGAAGTGCACAACTTAACACATTCCATTTTAATATATATAGATATAGATTTGTGGCGTTACAAACTGATGGAATGGAATTAGGTGTACCTAACAAATTTGAGTCATTAATAATCAAATTTGAATCGGATTATCGGATCATCAACAAATCGAACTAAAAGTAATAATATTATTATAAAATATATAAATAAAATAAACCAAAAAATAAGTTTAATATTGTATGTCATAGATAAGATGATCGGAAAATAACATTTCGCCTTTTGGGTAGAGGTGTAAATTGGGTCGTGCTACCTGTGGCTTGGCACGATTTTGAACTGGGCCTAACCTGACCTATTGATCCATCGGCCATGACACGATTGTATGGGTCGTGCCAAGCTTGGGGTTTCAAGACAGGATGGCGGGCCAGGCCAGCAGAGTCCACACTGTCATGTCGTGCTGCCTGTGGCTCATGGGTTGGCACGGCTTAGCCTGCGACATGACCCATATCTACTTATCTACCTCTCTCTCTCTCTCTCTCTATCTATCTATCTATCTATCTATCTATCTATCTATCTATCTATCTATCTATCTATCTATATATATATATATATATATATATATATATCCCTTTAAGTTTTAGGAAATTGACTAACTCTATCCTATTCTTTATTGTTGTTCAAAGTACCATTAAGTTTTGTGACAATTGACTAAATCCTCTTGTCATTAGTATTCATTAATGGAGAGACGAAAAAGACTATTTTATCCTTCATTCTTCTTTGAATTTTCAAAATTCTACCATCTACATGTTAGGTCTTTCTTCTGTCCCTTTGCTTTCTTTCATTGGTCAATCCACCCATCTCCCTCTCTATCTAACTTGCTGATATGATATGATACGCCCCGTATGGTTTAAAGTATTGATACGTCGTATCATATCTTTTGAAAATGATAAAATCCTAGATGCTTGTTTCCAGGGTTTCGGAACCCCAACTTTTTTTAATTAAAAAAACATGTTTTTAGCTTCCCAAAAAAACCAAACTTTGAAAAAAAATTAAAAAAAAAAGAGTTTCGGACGTTTCTAAGTACCGATATGATACTGCTGAAACGTGTATCGTATGGATACTTTAACCTTAATTTAATATACTCTAGAGTGTAGACTTTAAAGTTGAAAGAACTTGTTGGACTATAGTTTATTCGTGTGTGAAAGTGAAACAAGACATCGGAATTCCTGCCGATGTTTGGTGGTTCTGAAGCATTATCAAAAGACGTGAATCTTTTGTTTTCTTCTCCCGTTAAGAATTTGGAGGAACTACAGTCAAAGAGCAGAGAAGCCATGGATTCAGACTCCACCTTCATCATCATAGTAGCACATAACTAACAAGAGCTAGGCGCTGGTATACTAAGTTCATTGTTTGCATTTTTTATTGGTTTTGGCTGCATTTGGCATTCCTTATTTTAAGGATTTATCTCATTTTTGCAGTTAAAAATTCAGTATTCACGGGGACATTTTAACTATAAAATAGAGAAAATCCTTAAAATATGGAATGCCAAATGTAACCTTAGCACCAACTTAAGAATCCTACTCGTTTAGAGCTTTTCTATAAGAACTCTGCTCTTCAACTGAGAATCCTATCCATTAGACCCTGAAGGCAAGGTTGGGGAACATCTTATGCACAATTGATTACCTCAATCAGCCTTCCTTTCAATTCATCGACATTCGGATAAATCGGATATCATAGGTCAAATTCAGATATTATATTCTGTTGTCTTCTTAATTGACATTCACATAAATCGAATATCATTATGACCTCATTGGATTTGAAAAATATTTGAATTTGATTGATTATTTAACTATTATAATTTATATATAGAATAATTAAATTATATAAGTAATTTATATATTTTATATAAATAAAATATTTATTTTATATATTTATTAATTATTTAAAATAATTAATCATAAAATATTCCAATATTTAATTGAATTAGAATTCAAATATTAATTTTCAATATCTATTAAATATCGAATTGATTTGAATATTTAATTTTTTAATCGTATTCGAATTCGGATATTGCCTAATTCAATTCGACTTTCGATCGTTTACACCCGTACATAGACTTAGGGTAGTTTGAGGTTTTTGAAATGTCTAAACATGCAATAACAATCACATGAGAATCTTTTCAACCGAGGAAATGCTAACGATAGGGGAATGTGGGGGGACTTGAGAGTTTAGGGTAGGTCTTTGTTATAAATGAAATTTTTTAGATAAGGTGGCGTTTGATAATACTTATCAGATATCTAATATTTGAAAAATGTACAAACTGTTTATGTTTAGGTCTAAACACAAACTTTACTCATAAAATGTCTAAAATGGCAAGACATGATCCAGTCACGTTAGACACGTTCAAGAGCCTAGCCAAAGTCCTAAATGGTCAAACTTTTGGAAATGATCCTTGTTGCCCCTTCTTTTAAACCCAATTAGGTTCGGGTTCATTGAAGAAGAAATAAAGGAGGAAAGAAGAAGAGGAGGGAAACCCATAACCCTATTTGCATGGGCAAAATAATAAAATAGGTAGTTATTTGGAAGAACACCCCAACACGAATGCTCTGAAAAGCAAACAAAACATATTTGTTAGGGCTGAAAATTATTTGCTTAAAACCAAAAAATTCGATTCAGTTATATTATAATGAAATTTGGTTTTAGTCAAAACTTTCGTTTCGTTTTGTTTTGTTTTGTTTTTTTGTTTTTTTTTTTATTTTAGCTATTTTGGTTTTTCATTTGGCTAATTTGGTTTTAGTTTATTTAGTTGGATTTTAACCGAGTAAACTGAATGATAATTTATAATTGAGTTGGGATCTTCTGCCAACAAAACATGTTCCAACTTCTTGTTGATAAACATTTTTATGATATCAGTTGATTGGTTATACATTTTTCCGATATCATGTCTTTCTACCTTTTTATTATCATGCTCAAACACAAAATAAGTACAAAATATCAGTAAAATTGGTTTGAACTTTATATGTTTAATAGGGATTATCCTAGCTGAAGATTTTACACTACATTGAACTTATGTCGTTGATTCGAGTCCATTCAAAATTTAATAACTAAACCTCGACCCAAGCCTATCCAAGTTGAAGCCTAAATTTTTTACTAAAATAGTCATAGGTTCAAAGTCTCCCAAAAGTAGAGGTGCAAAATGGACCATGCTAGTTGGCATGGCACAACTTGCGTGCGGCCTGTAGGCCATCCTCCCTCCCTTGGGATATTTTGGGGGTCAGCCCAATATGGCCCACAGCTCGAACCCACACGGGCCCATGTCGGGGCACGGGTTGGGCTGGTCTATCAGTCAAACCTTGGGCCAGGCCGGGCCAAAGCTATTTACTTAAAAATTGAAAAAAAAACTTAAAATTTTAGTTTTATATGAATTTTGATGTATACAATTACTTATATATACAATAATTAAATAAAATAGTATAATAAAATTGAAAACAATATATATTTATGGGTTAAACTATGATATGGCAAAAATATGACATCTGAAAAACTTCTGACGAATCAACTAGAATCATAAACATGGTAGCCAATTAGGTGTTATTTATCAAAATTCATGGATGGGTTTTGTTTGGTCAAAATTCTTTCCATACCATATCTTTTCCGCATCATAGATTTTCTCATATATCTATATACAAGCAATTGTAAATATATATATGGTAAAATTCCTGATTAGTACCCTGTACTTTGGCTCGAGTGACAAAATGTGACAATCCAATACCTACCGTTAACCAGTTCGTTAATCAGCTGTTAAGTGACATTTGAAAAGTCAAAAGTGTCCTAAGAATGCCATCTAATTCTCTTTATCAACCGTCTAAACATTGACAATAAAATGAATAGTCCCAAATTCTAGATTCTTCTGAACAACCACCAACTTTGTTGAATAGAAGAGGCTAGGATTTGAGACTATTTAGTTTTTTGTCAATGTTTAGATGGTTGATAAAGAGAATTAGATGGCATTCGATGGGCATTTATGACTTTTCAAATATCACTTAATGGCTGATTAACGAACTGGTTGGTGATAGGTATTGGATTATCACATTTTGAAAGTTCGAGTACTGGATTGTTACATATGTAGAAGTGGGAAACTTCCATTATAGATCCATTCCTAAAAATGTAGAAAATTAGGGGTGAGCATTATTCGGTTAAAACAAAAAAATGGAACCGAAAATTTTGATTTTGGTTTGTTTGGTTCGATTTGTTCAGTTTTTTGTTAATTTGGTTTGATTAATTTGGCTTTTGAATATTTCGGTTTCGGTTTTTAGAATTACAAATTTGGTTAATCAAATAAACCAAAAAACCAAACTTTAGTATATAATATGTAATATATAATATATAATATGTAGGATATGATATATAATATATTATATATTTATATATTAAATAAATTAGTATAATGAAATTTGATTTCATAATATATATAATATAGAATATATTAGAAAAATTCTGTTTTAACTGAAATAACCAAAAACCAAACTGAAAATTTCAGTTTTGGTTATTTCGGTTTTTCTAAAATTTGGTTTCGGTTTCAGTTTTTGTTTTTTAAGTTTAGTTTTTAAAATTTCAATTTATTCGGTTCGGTTTTTAATCGAATAAACCGAATGTTCACCCCAACATAAAATGCAAAAACGATTATCCACAACCACTTCTACCTATATTTTCAATCAATCTCAATTAATCATTAATTATTATGATAATGATTATAATAATTAAAAAAATTAATTATAATAATTATTATGATAATAAAATCATTAATTAAATACTTAATAATAACAATAATAATTAATTAACTAAATATTACAATATAAATAATCTTTAAAAAATAAAGAAATAATAATAGACTTAGTACGAGGTCATTCTCTAGTTAAATATAGAAAGAAAAATACAATCATACACGAGGAACCCGAGGGTTTCGTAGTTAACATTGCTAATGAGTAATGAAGTTCGTTTTTTTTTTTTTTGTTTAATAAAAAAAAAATGGTTTCAATTAACCTCTAACCGTCGACTGTGTTCCGGTGTTCTTAGAAATCAAGCTTCTCGACATCGAACACCTTCAAAACCCTAAAAATGTCGAACAGAAAGTTATGGACTTCGGCTCTCTGCATACTGCACAGAAGATTATATTCAAGTCCTCGTTTCTCAGCTGGTTTTCATCTCAATCTCGAATCTACTAGTGTTTTCTCATGCTCTCCTTATCATGCTGGCAAATCTATTGTTTCTGGAAGCTGCAAAGGTGGTTTCATGGCAAATTTTAAGTTTTCCGTCAGGGGTTTCTGCTCGGAGCCAGTGGTCGGAAGTGTGGATAAATGCTGGAACTGTGGCACTCTGGCCATGTCGAAGCCATTTCTAGCTTGTGAGTCATGTAAAAGCGTTCAACCAGTTGATCCATCCATCGATTATTTTCAGATATTTGGGTTGTAAGTATCCAAAAAAGAATTGCCGGTTTAGCTCTGTTGATTTGCTTGATTCTTTGAACATTGTGAATCGTGTCATCAAGGGAATCTAGGATTTAGTTGCAACATCTGCACATATAATTCTAATTTTTTGGATATATCTATCAATATCTCAATGATCATTATACCAAATCACCATTTTTTCATGAATTGGGTAACAAAATATAGAATTATAAAAAGGAAACCATGTTTTGAATAACTCATACTTTTAAATTTGAACAGGGAGAAAGAGTATGATGTAAAGGTAGACAATCTTGAGAGCAAGTACAAAGATTGGCAAAAGAAATTGCATCCTGATTTAGTTCACTCAAAATCTGAGGTTTATTTGGACGAGTTCCAAATTTCTTCTTTTTCAAATTGTGGTCTCTCTTGTTTTTTATTTCCTATTTTTTATTTTATTTATTTTCTCATAGAAAGAGAGAGAATATGCTGCTGAGCAGTCTGCTCGGGTAATTGATGCCTATTACACTCTTAGCAAGCCATTGTCAAGGGCAACATACATGGTAAGGCGACTTGTTATTGTCAGTCTCTATCCTTTGTTATTTGTTAATGACCCCCATCAAGAAAATACAGATTGTAGACTTGGAGAAACCTTAGAGGTTCTTGTTGTGATGTCAGTTTTTATATGTTATGCTTTAATTATGGGAAAGACAGTATTGCAACAGTTTTATTTTCTTTTGTTACTAGTCTGAGGTAGTACATTGTTGCTATTGTGGAGAGGTACCAGCTCGTGCCCCTCCTTTGGGAAGGCTGTATTGTAATATCTTGTTGATTTTATTGAATAAAATTCAATCATTTATAAAAAAGAAGAGGTAAGGTAATAAATTCATTAAAAGGAAAATAAAATACCCTGTACGACTAGATGCTGTAATGGGGGAACATACAATGAATTAAGCCACTATCCTTCAACATTAATAAACAGATTTACAAAATCAAAGTAGGAACTATGGTTTGAACTGTTTAAGTTGATCTGAGCTGAATACCAGGAGAATAATTTGCCCACAACTTTATGCCATACATCCTCCACCTGACTACTTTTGTTGTGAAAAATTCTAGAGTTCCTTTCCTGCCATATCAACCACCACACAATTCCTGGAATCATTTTCCAAACAGCCTTCCTTCTTTTGCTCAAACCTTGAATGTACCACCCCTTACAGAAGCTTTCCACTGAGTTCGAACAACATCCCTTAAGGGCAAACAAGCTGTAGACCTTCACCCAAATCTTATAAGAGAACTCACAGTGTAATAACAAATGGTCGATGGATTCATCCACCTTGTTACATAGGACACACACTGGCGAGTCAATTTCTACACCCCTCTTCATTAGATTGTCTTTAGTCTGAAGCTTCTTGAGGAAAGCCAGCCAGATGAAGAATGCAATTTTTGAAGGAATGACTTTGCACCAGATTATTTTCATAGGGAAATCTTGATCTTCCTCCTTAGTGAACCTGTTATAAAATGAACTCACTGAAAACTGTTTGCTCTTCCCATCCTGCCACACTCTTCTATCATCACTGGTATAGTCAATACTGGTACTATAAAGCTTCTGCAGCAGCCGAGTGTAATGGTCAATCTCCCAATCGTTTAAAGATCTCCTGAGAAGAATGTTCCACACACAGTTGCCGTTGGAGATCTGCATATACTCCACCACTTTTTCTTCCTTGTCCACTGCTAATGCAAATAACTCAGGGAATTCATCTTTCAGAATGCTACCTTCACACCAGCAGTCCTTCCAAAACCTGACTTTGGTTCCTTTCCCCACCTCAAAGCTGTCTTCCTTACTGAAAGAACTGTAAATTCTCTCAATCCCTTTCCAAACTGAACATTCTTAAGTTTGACTTGCTTCACCTGGATCCCAACCCTCACTTCTTAGATTATATTTTGCTTTTATGACTCTTATCCATGTTCTTGTTGGCCAAATCTCCAAAGGCCAAAACCATTTACCAAGGAGGGCAATGTTCAGATCTTTCAATCTTCTAATCCCTAATCCGCCATTTTTCTTATGCTCGCATACCTTTCCCCAATTTACAAGATGAACCTTCTTATCCTCCTTCCATCCCTTCCATAAGAATCCCTCATTTTCTTTTCAATGGAGACTGCCATCCTGGATGGAATTGGGTACATGGATAAAAGGTAAACCGGAATAGAAGACATCACACTCTTAATTATTGTGAGTTTACCCCCTTTTGATAAGTATTTGGACTTCCATGATGCCAATTTCTTATCCACCCTCTCTATTATAGGCTCCCAAATAGATTTTGCATTGCATTTTGCCTCTAGAGGCATGCCCAAATATTTTATGGGTAATTTTCCCACCTTGCAACCATAACTATCTGCCCATCTTTGCAAATCCCCCACCTCTCCAACAGCCGCCACATCACTTTTATGGATATTTAAGTGAAGTCTAGAGGCTTCTTTGAACCATCATAAGGTTTCCAAGGAGTACTGCAATTGCTCGCTAGAGGCATCACGGAAAAAAACAGAGTCATCAGCAAACTGAAATAGAGGAACCTCTAACCTTCCCTCCCCTACTGTAAAACCCTCCAGAAAACCACCTCTAACTGCTCTCAAAACGACAGAACCAACTGACCCATTGCTTCCATCACACACAAAAATAACAAAAGGGATAGAGGGTCCCCTTGTCTCAAACCCCTTGAACTCCTAAACTGACCACATGCCACTCCATTGACTAAAATTGAGAATGAAGGAGTAGGTTATGCATACCTTCATCCAATTTCTCCATTTGGATTTAAAACAGTCTCCTCAACATGTAATCCAGAAATTCCCAATTTACCTAGTCATATGCTTTTTCCAAATCCATCTTACACAAAGCCAGCTCTCCCACTTCCTAACCAAGAGTCTATGATTTCATTTGCCACCAAGACCCCATCTATCAATTGTCTTCCTTCAATAAATGCCCCTTGGAAATCAGAAATGATCATGCTCATTACTGGTTTCAGTCTTCTAGGTAAAACTTTGTACAAAATTTTGTAAATACTCCCAATGAGGCTAATTGGCCAAAAGTCTTTCAAGTATTCGGCCCCTTTTTTCTTGGGTACAAGAGTGATAAATTAGAATTTTAACTTCTTTTCCCAAGCTGCAGAAGAGTGAAATTCTGTGAAAACTTTCATAACATTCTCCTTTAGAAAATCCCAGCATCTGTTGAAAATTTTCATTGTAAAACCATCAGGCCCTGTAGATTTATCTCCTTTGGTCTCATTTATAGCCTCCCACACCTCTTTTTCAGTGAAATTTCTTTCCAAAATTCTATCTTGATCATCTGATATACCTCTAAACTCCAAACCATCCATCTTTGGCCTGCTTTTCCAGTTCTCCTTATACAGATTGTAGAAGAACTGCTTTGCTGCCATTTTAATGCCTGTATCCTCTTCTACTGCTTCCCCATTCACCACCAGGTTTTTAATTGTGTTCTCACGCCGTCTAGAATTTGCCGATTTATGGAAAACCAGGTATTTTTATCCCCCTCCTTCAGCCAAAGACATTTAGATGCAAGGTTCTAAATATCCATACACCCAATACTCCAGTAGGGGCATATCGGGCAGTATCGATACTGTTTTTTTTATTTTTTTTTTTATTTTTTATTTTCAAATCTGGTTCAGGGGGCCAGTTTAAGGTTCCTCCACCCTCTGAACCGGTCAAAACCCTGATACACCCTCTGTAGGGGCGTGTCAGGGTGCTCCCGATACGGACCGATACATAACGATTTTTTGAACCTTGTTTAGATGTGTTGACTGCAACAAATTGGAAATATCCAATATATCTGGTATTCGTGAGTACAAAAGATTTTATGTAAGTAGCATATGGAAAGGTTAACCCATTTTGATGCCATGATTATGATATTTGGGGAGACAAGGACATGGTCAATCAGTGATTTAAAAGGTGCACCTAGGCACACAGGCGAGGCGCATTTTAGGGTATGCGCCTCACCCGGGTCCTAGGTGCATCCCTTTCAAAAGGCGCACGCCTGGTGCGCCTAGGCATGCGCTTGATCAGTGATTTAAAAGGCATGCCTAGGCGCACTGGCGAGGCACATTTTAGCGTAGGCGCCTCTCCCAAGTTAGGTGCAGCCCTTTCAAAAGGCGCATGTCTGGTGCGCCTAGGCGTGCGCCTGATGCGCCTTGCACCTCAGCCCAGACATGTGCCTTTTAAAATTCTGCGTTGTTTGCTTTTTTTTTTACCCTAATGGCTGGGCAGGGGGCTTCGCCCCCGAACCCCCGTGCCGCGTCCCTCAAGGCAAGCCCAAACAAGTACATGTTAGGGTCTTAAATTCTTAGTTCGCTTGCTCACTGAAGCTTCGAGAACCCCCTTTTTGGTAATGTTGTTCATTCATTCATCCTACTAAAATATCTTCTTAAAAAGCAATTAAAATTATAAAATCATTATTTTTTGTGTGGGAACTAAGAATTTAAGACCCTAACATGGACTTATTCGGCTTGCCTCGAGGGGTGTGGTACAAAGGCGACTCATAGAATCAAGAATGCAATATGTTTTGCATCACATTACCTACTTGAAGTAATGCAATTGAGGAAAAAAAGAGATTGTGGGTTTTACATGCTCGAAAATGCTTTATAAGTTTGCTTTTATTTTTAAATTTTCATTTTAATATGCTTTACATGTTATGTTTATGTATTTTAATTTTAGATAATATGTTTTTTAAAACATTTATTTTAAAATTTAAGTTTATATTTTTTATTAACATTATGTTTAATATTTTTTGCATTTTTTATAAATTTTTTGGCTTTCTTTTTTAATTTTCTAACTTTTTTATTTTTAGATTATTTTTTTGTAATTTTGCAACTTGCTTCAAAAAGGTGCACATCTCGCCTTGCGCCTCAGGCACAAATTGGCCCTTGCACTTTCAAAACACTATGGTCAATAAATTACTTAAAGAATTTTTACTGTAGGACCATTATGACTAGTAAAGTTGGGAAATTGAACTATAACAGGATAAACTAGTGAAGTGTATCTTGAAATCTTAACTGGGCATTTTTGTGTCGTCTTATGGATATGGGCGGAGTTGGAATAATTCAGGGACATCTGTTTGTATATGGCATAAAGTTATTCAACATCAATTAAAAAGATGGATTGAGAGTAGACTTGACCCATAATATAATAGAAGTTTCCATTTAGACAATAAGTTTGATCCTTTTGTAGATTCAAAATTTCAAATAAGCTTGACTATTTTCAGTGATTTTTTTGGTAGTAAAATGAAAATTCATTACCAAGGGTATATAAATCATGAATAAGTTGCTGACATTTTTGGAAATGTTGAGGGATCTCAATTGATTTTTCAAGTAGGATCTAGTTAGTGTTTCAAAATTGGTTTGGAACACCATTCTGGCAGCTGTACTTTGGGCCATGGTTTTCAAAACCGGACCGAACTGGATGGTCGGACCGGAAAAACCGGGAACCGGTCACCCGTTTTCCCCCCGAACCGCTTTTTCCCCAAAACTGTTGATTTTGGTCAGAAAACCGCTGACCCAGCCGGTTAACCGTTCGAACAGTTTTGATCGTTTTTCAATTTTTAAAATTTTTTAATTTTTTGTCAGAACGGGCCGGCCATTCGGGTCTAACGGTCGGACCGTTCGAACCAGTAACCAGACCCCTTACCGGTTCGGTTTTAAAAACCATGCTTTGGGCTATTTGGACTGAGAAATAACAGAATTTTCCATGCTAAAACTAAAAGTCCAGATGAAATTGTGCAGAAAGCTGTGGGCAAGTTATTGTCTTGGGTGTCGATGATGGAGGAATTTAAACATCAGAATTTGCGTCTGTTGTTTTGTTCTCAGTCTTGGATGAGATTGTAATCTAAGGTGGTCCTAGGCAGCCTTTAATGGCCTGGGCTCTATTGTAATGTTTCTTTGAATGAATAAATTACCTTACCTTTTACAAATATATATAAATATATATATATATATATATTGGCTTGTAGGGTATGCATTGCCTAAATTGTTTGAAGGGTAAAAGACTTGAACCTCCCCTGAAGTTTAAGATAAATTACTTATACCTTCCCTGTGATTTTTGAAAGGATTTAAACCTCCCTTGTCATAAAAAGATACCATTACATTTAACGGAATCAATGAAAAGACTTCAATGCCCTTCATTATTCTTTAAATTAAAAAAAAAATTGAAGAACCAGGATGGATGGCTCTACTGATAAATGAGGTAGTTGTGACTACAAAGTGATAAATAAGAAATCTTCTAAACCCACAACATCACAAAATCAACAGAACAACAATTGGACCCTTCATTTTATATTAATTGTTTTGTTTTAGGCTCCTCTACTTTGTTATCATCGTTGATGGATTTGAATTTGATGGCTATTGAGTGGAGAGATTGGTGAAGATAAAGAACAGGTTTGAGTGCTTTAACAAATGGATTGAGGTGTCAGAGTTCAAGTGCAGGTGCAGAAGTCTGCATAGAGCACAGTTTCTGAGACTAGAATGGGATATGGGTTAAGATGCACAGCATATACTTTATTTCAAGGTTATGGGTTGAGATACAATTTCCAAGGCTAACCCTATGATCAAGTCAAACAAGATTAACAAGTTCTGGGACTAGAACAGAAGGCTTCAGTCCACTCGTTTCATCTTTATTTGCAAATGATACTTTATTCTCTCTCTTTAAATTGAAACCGGAAGGATTCAATAATGATTTGATATTCCTTTTCTTAGTGGAAGTAGAAATTGAATAACATGGTTTTGTTAATTGAGAAATATTTTTTTACTAAAATAAGGGTTCAGGAATTGTAAAGGGTGGAAATTCATGGAACAATTTGGTGTTAGTTTGTTGCAGAACACTGGTCATCTTCATTGTTAACTTTCGGTCATTTCTGGTATGACATTTTATGGAACAATGGAGGGGTATTGTTTGGTGCTTGGATGTCACATTCTGTTCGGTAGTATGGGAGGTTGGGGTTCTTCTGTTGTAGTAGTGTTATTCCACCTCTTGATCTTTTCAATGCAAATGCAATCATACTTAATCTGTGAAGTCATCTTCTTTTTCTATCCAATTCTGAGATTTATATAGAGAAAAGGATGGGGCTTGGGAGATAAAAACAGGGGATTCACCAGGATTTTTGATGAAATAAAATGCATACCATCTCCGGTGGCAAGAAAATGGTTCCTAAACACAGAGGAGGAATACACTCTTACGATTTCCTGTGTTTTTGAATCATGGCCAAAGGGCAAATTTAGGATTTTAAAAACATTTCAGGCACAAGTTATATAATATACAAACAATCTTGATGGGTTTTTATCGGGGGGGAGGTCTTTGTCCAATGACATCATCCAACAGGGGAGGTCTCAGTCCATTTTGAAAAAAGAAGGGTGGTCTTAGTATTTAGTATAAAGTCTGGGGAAGTTGAAGTCTTTTACCCTTTCTTGAAATAGTTTCTTTTGTTTTTTCCCAAAACTGGCACCTCACTTCCTTCAGGCATGCATCACACCTTGTGCCTTGGGCTCTAGGAACTCCTTGCACTTCCGTTGCAGTTCTCATTTTTTAAACACTGCAATTTAATTACTTGCTGAACTTGGTTTCTAAATTTCTGTTTGTCTTTGTATTTTATCCTCACCTAGTCTCCATTCTCATGAATGGAAAATGATAATGCTTACATTCCTTTTGGCTTTTGACAGTTGAAACTTGAAGGTGTACATGTGGATGAAGAAAAAACCATTTCAGAACCAGATTTCCTAGCAGAGGTAATTTGAATGATGCTGACCTTCCTTTTTGTCTGAGTTGGTTGACTTGGTTCCTTTGATGCTATTGGCTTGTTCCAAATCAAGGCTTGTTCCCTCTCAACTTGGTTATTACATGTATGACTAACAAATGAAATGGATGCCACCATCAAGAGAGACCACATATGCAAACAGAAAACCTAAAATCAAATCCTTGAGCTCAACAATTTTAGTGAACCAAAAGCAATAGCCATTTAATGATGCATCCTGGGTTATCTGAATTTTACACTACAAGCTGTTGGAATAACACAAAAAGGTCCCATTAAGGGAAAAAAAAAACTTTAAAATTTGAATGCTATTTGAAGAATAGTGGAACGATTACAGATATTTTATGTGTTTCGTATATGTAATTGTACCAAGGTGGGTTGGGGCTCAGTATAAAAAAAAAAAAAAATAATTTATTTCTCGGTTTTGATAACTTCCATTGCTGAGTTTTAACAAATTTGTTTCAGATTATGGAAGTCAGAGAAGCTGTTGAAGAGGCAGAAGACTCTCAGGCATTAAACCAAATCCAGCATCAGGTGAAATTGGCTGAATTTTCCAAAATAAACAGCTCATTATCAATTTCTGTGATCATGCAAGTGGTTGGAGTAGATACTGGCCCCACTGAAGACTGAACCACTTGGTGATTGTGGCCATATGATTGGTTAAATATGGTGGATAGTCTAAAAGAGGCCATTGAGGCCAGATGTTAAAATCACCCATCCAAATTAACCGATTGAAAAATCCATTATGAAGATCCTTTTCAAAATAATAATAATGAAGATGCCCTGAAGGCACCATATTCAATTGATATCAAAAAGGCCTCTTTTTCCCATTCTACAATTATGTATTAATTTAATTTAAATGGGATATATGCAGCTTGTATTTACCATCTTTTTTCCCCTTTTCCATCTTATTCAGATGCAAGGGAAACTAGAAAGTTGGTTTAAATCCTTTGCAAATGCATTCAAGAACCAAGAATACGAGGCTGCCGTAACTTCAATTCAGAGGATGACTTACTACGAGCGTGTGAAGGAAGAGATTCTAAAGAAGATGTGATAGGTAATCCATTCAGTGATATGTTGGCTAAAGCAGTGACTAAAAAGGCCATTGGATACCCAATGTTGATCCCAGCAATCTAGGGTCTAGGGTCTTGGGAGGGGTAGATTGGATGTGGTACTAACCTTCGGCATTGTTTTGTAAAAGTGGCCAATCTCAGACTCAAACCTCACACTTGCTGGCCTGAGATTTTACCATTACACCGAGTATTGCCTCAAAATTAGTGATTAGATCATGTTATTCTTTTGCCCCTTTTTTCTTTGTTAACAATGTTAAATTGTCTTTTCAACATGTATTTAAGATATATTAATGCAAATAGTCATTTATTTCTTTAAAGTATTACTTTTTTTTGTATTTGATGATACGCCCAAATCCCCCATAGGGGCATTTGAATAGCACGGTACAACGCTAACAACCCCCTCCCCAAAGGGGCAGCAGAGGGAATCGAATCCTCGTCTCTGCTGGAAGCCTGGAACAAACCAGCTAACATAACAACTGAACAACTCATTAGGTTGCATTTGGAAGGGATGTAAAATTTATATCGGTTGTTATAGGCGTTTGGAAGGAGCGTGTAATTATCATCGACGTAAAACTCTACTTCGACATAAAACTCCACTTTAGTTCAGTTGTGTACATTTGGACGGAGTAGACATCAAGCATAAAATTTTACATCAATAATCGATGTAAATACAACATCGATTTTATCGATGTAAAACTTTACACTTTTTTTATCAAGGTTTTCAAAATGTAACAGTCACCTATTATACGGTTTAATGTAAAATGTTATCAGTGTATTTTTATACTGATAATATTTTACATCGGATCCAAACAAAGCTGATGTTGCGCAATCCGAGCACTCCTAACTGGTAGAAACTTGGCTCCTATTTGGCAACGGACGGTACCTGAAAAGAAGAGGAAGATGAAGAATTCCCAGGGAGCTTGCCCGACGGGAACACTCCGATGCTTAAGTCAGGGCTTTGAGAGAATATAAGGAAAGCTAAGAGTGCAGATAGCGCGGAATTGAAGATTACCTTTGCCCCTTGGGGGTTGGGGCTCTTTTATAACTAAAATTTGTCGAATCAGGCGTGATCACCTCTGTTAGGCCAGGCGTAACCGCCATTGTCTCCCTACCGTAGCCGTTAGTGCTAGAGCCGAGGTGGCGGCCGCAGGTAGCCGTTTGCAGGGTACAGACCTGTCAGTCAAGAGATATCCTTCAAAGATGGCAGGCATGACGCCGCTTGGCACGGGACGTGGGCGCAGCCCCCGGGTTCGGCAGGTATTGTTGTCAGGTAGATATTTCCTGGGTCACTAGGCTATCTTGAGTCAAGCGGTATCTTGCCGAGCTACCCTGTGCCGAGGTACTGGTAGTGTGTTGAGCTGCTTTCTACCTAAGGTGTACCCTTGGAAGTTAGGAGAGCCAATGGCACTGATCCGAAGTGTTTCTACTTCGGGATATCTAAGTGCAAATCGAGGTGCTCCCTTCTCGGGAAGGGCTTAAAGCTCGTTGGGAGGAGCTCGGGATCTAGGAGGAGCTCGGGGCCCCTCGCTCGGTGGGAGCTCGGGGTGTCCCATCCTTAGTAAAATTCAAGATAAGCTGGATGTTAATTCCCGACGAGTTACCTAACTCGTCAAGTTGCCAGGTTGAACTCGGCGGGTTCGTCACACCGAGTTATGGTCATGCTGCCATGCTGTCACGCTGAATCGTCACTTGCGCCAGGTCATGTATACGCGTCCCCATGCTATGAGGTCGGGCCAAATCACCCTCCATCAATTGCCCCCCACTCCCCGTGCTGGGGGTTCTGACCCAGTGCGGGGAGTTCACGGTGCGCTAGGTGGATTTGGCTCAGTGCTCATGCCACCTTATCAGGTGATTTGTTGGTCAGACCGGTTTACTACTCGGCTCAGTGCTCATGCCACCTTATCGGATGTCACGCGATCTGGACTTCACGAATGCCAAAAAACGCGCTAAACGGATTTTGCCTCGAGGATCTCGTAGCCGGTTTTCCTGAGAGCCGATAGATCGTCCTGATATTGACCGCTGATGCCCGGGCGTAGCGGCTATAAATAGTGGGGGACCCTGGTCATTTTCCTTGCCATAATTCTTCTGCGTTCACTTTGAGCTCGCGTCTGAGGTCTCTAGCTCGGGTCTTCCAGCTCGTCGGTTTCCCCAGTTCGGTTGCGAGGCACGGATGGCCACGGGTAACTTGGCGTCCACCTCCCACCGAGGTCGGATGCCGGATCAGTTCGGCCCTTCCACCATGACGCTGGAGAGACTTCGGTATCTTTTCCAGCATTACAACCTTCCTAGGGAATATTCGTACAGTTTACCTGCCGGCAACTTCCCTTGGGAGCACGGTCCAGATGACATCGTGATCTTTAAGGAGCAACTCATTGCCAAGCTCCGTCTTCCTCTCCACCCCCTTATTGTTGAGGTATTGAAACGCTTCAACGTCACACTGGACCAACTCCACCCGAACTCTATTCGCAATGTGGTTAGCTGAGCTCGGGTTCGATTACAAGGACTATATCGCCGAGAGGAAGCTCATACAAGCCGGTTTGAGCCTGGGTAGGTTTACTTTACTTTAGCACCTTGCTCAAACGGTTAAGTATTTTTGGGTTTACTAATGCCGAGCTCCGTTGCAGGTCCCATGGAAGAGGAGAATGTCAAGGGGGAGAGACTCTTCCGCCAAATGAAGAGGAAGAAGTGAACTGCCAAGAAGGAACACATCGAGCCTCCATGGGCCCCCACCCTTGAGCCCGAGCCCCCGCAGGTCCCCACTTCGGAGCCCGAGCTCCCTGACGCTCCTCCTGTCATTGACTTGGAGGAGGAGAACTTACCACCTCGGGAGCCCGAGGTGACGGCAGAGCCTGCCATTGAACCCGTTGAGGCTGCTACTGAAGTTTCTGAGGAGCCTGCTCACGCAGCCGAGACAGCGGTTTCCAACTCGGGGAGTCAGGAGGAAGGGCGTAGCATCCTGAACCCCCAGCGCGGCCTTCAAAAAAGCAAGGAGGCAGTCTACCCTGAAGAAGGCAGAGAAGGAAGGGCTAGCCCGCGAGAGGGACAGGCTGAAGGCCGAAGTGAACAGACTGAAGGCAGGCCAGGAGGCCTTAAAGCTCGAAGTGAAGAGTCTCAAAGAAGACAAGGGGATCTTAGAGCATGAGGTGGAGTAACTCAAGATTGATATTGAGGAGAAGACCAAGATCTTCAACCAGGTCATTGAGGAGGTGAAGGTCCAGGGCGCCATCAACTATGTCAAATCGGATAAGTTTGACGACGTGCTAACCAAGGCCTATCGTAAGGACTTCAAACTCAGCAGGTGGTTGATAAGGCATACATACCCCGACCTTGATATAAGTGCCATCACCACCTCGCGAATCACGAACGAATTGCCCGCCAGGCCACAGAGGACCCAGATTCCGAAGAGGAGGGTGGTGATGAAGAGGCAGATGTTGCCGACCTGGCTGATGCTCCTGAAGAGGTCCCAAGCAAAGAGGATGAGCCCCCGAAGTAGTCTGTGCAGTCCTTATACCCTTTTGCAGTTTTTGTACTCTGAGCCTGCGAGCTCAGTTCTAACTTATTTTCTTTTCTTTTTTGCTAAACTCACTGTAAAAATATTTACTCAATGAAATTTGTTTTCCTACCAAGTGTCGTGCACTTTTTATTTTTACTGAAGTAACTGTTTTATCCGAACTGTTAAGTGTCCGGGGTAGGAATTCTCATATGTGGTCACCCCAAACTACCTCCCAGCAAGGGTTTTGTGATGTGCACCAAGGCAAGCGACATAGGAAGGCATATGCCCGACCTATCCACTTGGTCACTTAAGTTAATAGTTGTCCCAGGCGGGTCCAACCTGTTGTACACTGCGGTGGGCCATGCGTCACAGGGTTTGTACCCGAGCCGCCTGCCTTCTCAGTGTACAAAATCCCTGCTGATGCAACAACAAAGTTATGCACAACACCGAAGTCCTTAGCCTGTTCGACCTTTCAGCCCTTTGCTAGTTCGGTTTTTCAGTGCCGAGGTTATCATTAGCTCGGCATATTGGCCCTCAGGCTCTAGGAGCAACTCGTGGTCCACTCAGTTCGGTAATTTATGGGTAATATTGCCTTAGGTTGACAATATTCCATGCTTGAGGTACTAGTTTCCCTTCTAGGGTTTTGAGCTCGTATGTTCCTTCCCCGAGCACCCGTTTTACTCGGTAGGGTCCTTCCCAATTTGGCCCGAACTTATTAACACCGGGCTCAGGCACCATACTCTCTGCTGGTAGGCCGCAGTCCTAATGTATGTGAGGTCCCGTACCTCGTCAAACAGGTCGAGGTTGGTGCGTAGCTCGTCTTCGTTTGCTTTGTCATTATGCGCTTCTAGTCGTAGCGTAGGGACTTCGATCTCTGCCGGGATAACTGCCTCGGTGCCGTAAGTGTGGTTGAAGGGAGTCTCTCCTATCGCCGTCTTCACCGTGGTCCGGTAGGCCTATAGAACACTGGGCAGCTCGTCTGCCCATAGTCCCTTAGCTCGGTCCAGGCATGCTTTCAATCCACGGAGAATGGCTCTATTCGTGACTTCTGCTTGGCCATTTGCTTGAGGGTGTGCTACCGAGGTGAAGTTTTGCTGTATTCCCATGTCTTTGCACCAATTTTGGAATTTGATGTCTTCAAACTGCTTACCATTGTCGGAGATCAATACCCGGGGTAGTCCGAAACGGCATACTATGTTCTTCTAGAAGAAGTTTTGTACGTTCCGAGTTGTAATCATCGCGAGAGGTTCAGATTCTACCCATTTGGTAAAATAGTACACTGCCACCACTAAGAACCTTCTCTGCCCTGTTGTCGGCGGGAATGGTCCGAGTATGTCAATCCCCCACTGTGCAAAGGGCCACGGGCTGGTAAGATATTTTAAATCGACGGCAGGCTGGTGGTGGATGTTGGCGTGCTTCTGGCACTTGTCACATCTTCTAACGAGCTCGATTGCGTCTGCCTTCATTGTTGGCCAATAATACCCCTGTCGTAGCGCTTTCAGAGCGAGAACGCTGCCCCCCAAGTGTCCACCGCATAGGCCCTCGTGAGTGTCGCGGAGTACAAGCTCGGCCTCGAAAGGTCGCAAGTAGCGCAGATAAGGGAGCGTATAAGATCTTCGGTACAATCTCCCATCTATTATGACGTACATGGCTGCCTGAAGCTCTACCCTTTTGGCGGCATTACGATATGCAGGGAGAGTTCCGTGTAGCAGGAAGCTCACGAGCGGATCAATCCAGCTCGACTCTGCTTGAACGACGGGAGCGACCTCCTCTGCCCCCCCCCCCTCGAGAACGCTAGGCCGAGGTAAGTTCTCTATATACACTGTT